ACTATTTATATATATATATATACATATTTCAAAAACTAAATAAATAAATGAATAAATATTTTGTTTTTTTGTAGGAAATATTGCAATGTGAAAAAATGAAATGTCAACTTCTTGATTGCATCGACATTCTTTTGAGACATTGTGTTAACAATTATCCTGAAGGAGCAAACGCCAATAGCGATGGCAAAGCTGTGATTATTGATATTATAGCAGCAATTGGTTTCTTTAGCTTGAACAATAAGAAGAATCAGGCAAGTATAAATATTTGTTTAAAATTGAAAATATTTATTATTTTTTTGAATTTCAGGATACTCTTGTTTTTGACAAGTATAAGGATATTGTTATAAACTTAACAAAATTACCTCATGAAATGGACGTTGTGGTTTTGCCTTGCTTTACCGTCTTGATACATAAACATAACAAGATGCGTAATTTATTAGCCAAAACTTTCGATATAGAAGTAAGTAAAATCAGTTAATGTTTTTGGTTTGTTAGTAAAATAAATTATGTGCATTAATAAATTTCCTTAAATTGATTAAAACAAATGCAAGAGATGGCATCTAGAAACGTCTATTGCTTATTGCAATAGCTTCAAATTGCCGAAAAAAAAGTTTTCTAATCATTGTTTTTATTATATAGTAAGTCCTTGTTCTATACTTGTTGAGCCATTTGATCTTTCAGATAAAGTTAAGGAGATCTGATAAATCTACTTTATATCCATATGCTCTATGCCTCTGTGGAAACTATCTTCTAAATTTCTTTATTAATAGTCCTGGGCAGACTCGCAGAAAGTGATAAGTAAATTCCATCTTCAATTTAACTGGACAATTGTGTAGTCGGCTTATGTCGGGATACGCTACCGTATAGGCACCGGTGCAATAGTACTTTACTCATTGAGCGCTTTAGTAACGCTTGAAGTAAGTTGTGATGAAATATTCTTCATCACTTCAGAGAAATACTCTTAATTTACAAATAAAGATTATACAATAAAATGGCGTATTTGTTAGACCTTGCTCCACCAGACTATGACTTGTTCCCATCGAAAAGCAATGTTCTCATCGCTCAACGTTGTTAATAATTGTAATGTTATGATCTTAATCTGTAGAAACAAATCTGAGGTTTCTAAGCTAGTATCTATCTTTACGGGTCACTGGTCCATAGGACGGCATGGAGCCCGACTTGGCCTTCCCTGTGGTACCTCATGTAGTGCGTGTCTACCAATACTTGAAAAAATGACACCAGAACACCTGATGTGTTTTTGTCCAGGTCTGGCCAGAACTAGGTTTAAGTTTCTAGGGGCCCCTTTCTTCAACTCACTTAGCGATATCTCCAGCATCAGCATTAGCCAGATTCTTGCCTTTGTTAATGCCTCTGGTTGGTTCTAGTTTGACCCTCTATCTACTACCCACTATTACGAGGTTTTTGTGGACTCAAAACGGCTTTCATCCTTAGCTATTTGAGGAGGATTCGTCCTCCCTTCACCACAACTAACTAACTAACTATAATGTTATGATTATTAACAAGTGACAGAATGGGTGATGGAACGGATGTATTCATAAACTGAAAGACTCTTTTATACGTCTTATGACACAAATTTTCAATATGAAGTTAGGGTGGATTAGGCTAGTTGGACCTGAGTGTAACACAGAATTTTTGGTCCTTAGTGATACAAATTAAAGGTGTCTATATAAAAATAAAAAATTGCGATAAATTATTTCGACTGGAGCTTGCAATTAATTGAATTCACTGTACATGTATTTAATGTGTTATGTTAAACAGTTTATCTTGATTTTACGTGGATATATTATAGTAGTTAATTTTATTTAGCTCTACACTGTTGAGCTAATTGAATGATAATTTTGCTTTTTTTTACGATTCTTGCTGTTGAAAATTTTACGTAAATGCCCGTAAAAAATTGGTCAATGATGGTTTCAAATGTAGCCGAATCGGTGAAGATAAGAGTACTTAGTGTACAGATGGCCTCCACTTTTTGAGTTTTTTTTTTATTAAATTGTTGTGTATCACTTTTTTATTATGTTTCACCGGACTAAAACTTCATTAAAAATGATTGGTTAAATTGTCATATATATCCAATGTGTTATCTTAGATGAGAAGTCTCATGTGCTTTTCAGCATTTTCTTACATACATAAATTATTAACGTGGGTTGCTTAATTCTTTTTCCGCATTTTGTTTCTATAGCACAAATTTTCATTGTTTTCGTTCAAAGTGAAGTAACGTCCCAAAATATAGGATATGACCGAAGAATAAGTTCATCGATTGACCGAAAGAGAATGACTCCTACTCATTTCATTAAGTACAGTTAACTGTATTTTGTGTCAAGTGTTGTATTTTAAAAACTATATATGAAATATGGTAGATACTAGTTTCGGTAAGAATGCACAAAAACAGATTTTAATACAATTCTAAAAAAGATATTTTTGACAAAATCATTTTAGAAAGAATAGAAATTATTTCGTATGTTGTTTCACCACTATTAATAAGATTTTGATGGTAGCACTATTACTTGAAATCTACTATAAACTTGGCTTTTTGGCTCAAAAGTGTGTTCAGGTCCAGATATCGTCCACACAGTGTAGGCATCAAAAATTTAGGATGCAAAAAGAAATTTTTTAATGGAGTATTTTAAAACTGTTAAAACGAGAAATCATCTTAAGGATCAATTGGATTTAAATTTTCGAAAAGAAAATATGATTACAAACAAAAATTTATTTTCGATATAAAACATCGGTAAAATTAGTGACTGAAATGACGAATTGTTGTTATGAATAAGAAATTGTTGTTCTCTTGTGTTTCTTCGCACACTTCCAAACCCACAACTCTATCGTCTTTAAGAATTTTCAACAAACGCAGAGAGGTATTGCGCAGAAATTGCAGAAAATCACTGAGATTAGATCCACTAATTGGAGGATTGTTGGAACAAGTGTATTGAAGTAGATGAAAATTCTACTAAAAAATGTTTATTTTATGCAAAAGTGAGGCGGAGAGAAGTCAAAAGAAACGGGAATAAGAGATGAGACAAGAGAAAGTCAAGTGACGGAAAAGGAGTGCTAAGAGAAAGAGGCAGGGATGAGGTAAAAGAGAGGCACAAATGAAGCCAAAAGAGACTACGATAAAAGCGAAAAAGAGAGATATAAGAATGAGACAAGATAAAAGAAAGCTGGATAAGGATTGAGAGAGATGTGTGAAGTGACGCGAGAGATACAGAAAACATTGTCGATACAGAAAAACGACAATTAGAGCTAGGCAAGAAGAAAAGGCTACAATGAGAGCGGAGAATAAAGGCTCAGAACTTAAGTCAAACCGGAATGCAGAACCAACCACACCTGTGTATTTGATAGAAACGAAATAAACAAAATCGACAAACTTTGTTTGCTCTTCAAGTAACCACTAAGAAACGAGTATCCTCGGTGATTTCCGTAGCCTCAACATACATGGCACAGCATGGAAAATGAATGTCCAGCAATAACTATTTCGTTTCCTCCACACTTTCCGTCAAGCTTACGTCAGTCTTTTTTAGTGTAGAGAAGCCCTTTTGGTGATCTTCGTTGAGCGCTTTCTAGAGTCTCGCAACTGTTGGAAGTGTTTCAATCTCTTCGCAGTGTCTCCTCTCTATAATTTTCTCTTTGATTTCCTCAATTTCTTATTGTAAGCACTTTTATGCTCAGCCCTTGCTGGACTTGGCTCTATTAAAGAGCTGATGGATTTTTTTGCGCAAAATATCCAGTTCCTTATTCCATCATAGGGCGTTTCTATTATAAATATAGATCTATAATGTTTTATAGAGCAATACTGTAAATGATATGGTTGTAAGTATAATAAGAGTTAATATTTATTTGGAGATAGAAAGCAAGTATCAGCTTTTATCCAAAAACAAATCAGTTACATACAGTGAACAATTTAAGGACTAAAAAGAAGAATTTTTTTTTAAATAAATATAATAAATTACGTTTATTTTTGCTACTGTGTATATGTCCTAAAAATTTTATTTTGCAACAATTATATTATTTTAATTAAATTTTCTTCCAAAAAACTTATTTACCAAAATTGGTTCTTTCAAGAAACTAAGTACAAACTAAATAACTTTGTAAATGGCTTTGTTTTTTTTATAAATAAGTTGTGTCAAACACAACTTAAACACTGTATTTTAACAATCTTTTGATGTTTAAGAAAACGTAATTGATGTTTAAGAAATCGTAAATCGTAGTATTAACACCCTAGACCAGCGGTGGCGAACCTTACTATAAATTTATTGTGAAACTCAACAAATACCATACGTCCGCATGGCGTGCAGTCATACTTGTGTTTTTTTTATATATGCTATACTTGTGATATTCGTGCCATTGATTTGAAATCGCTGTCATAGACAATCTTTACAAAATACACGGAAAATTTTATCATCTAAGGAAATGGCTGAATTTCTTTTCGGTGTTGCCATAATTAAAATGTTCGTTATTAACATGTGCTGAACATAACTGTGTATAGAAGGGTTCGAATAGATATGAAAAGACAACAACAAAAATTTTAGTTAATTTATTGAAATTCGTCTGACCGTACAACGCTGTTTCGAATACTGTAATCATCATCAGTGGTCTAAGGAAATATTAGAATTTTTTTTAATAAGTTTATAGTCCGTATATAATTTGTTTGAATAGTAAATTTCTATAAATTAACTAAAATTGTTGTTGTTGTCTTTTCATTTTTATTTGTATCCCTTCAGCTTTAAAATAGTTTCTTTTCGTCATAAAACGAAATTTTGCTAAATATTTATAGCTGTTAATAAAAAATTAAATGAAAAGAAAGAGAAACAATTGATGTTTTGTTGACGTCTTGAATATATATATATATATATATTTTTTTTTTTTTTTTTTTTTTTAATTTAACGGTTATTAAAATTAAAACAGCGTAAACATATTAATAGGCAACTTTGTGAACTTAAATTAAAAACACAAAAAAAAAAACCAAATAAAAAACTGCCCGCATATGTAATAATGTGGCCCTCAGTTGTATGGGAACACATATTTTATTTTTTGATCACATTGGCTATAACATTTTCTAGTATCTTAGTACAACGGAAAAAGAAATTGAAAAAAATTTTGTAAAAAAAAGTGATTTTGAGACGTGTCGCAACACCCTCGAAAGTAGAAAACTCTTATTTTTTAATAATTTTGAGCTATTTTGGAAAGTTTTAGAGAAAGAGATATATGCTGTTAAAAATAACTTAAATATATTTCAAATGTTTTCTTGAATGAAACTTAGTTAATATGAAATCCCTACATACACTCGAAAATTTGTACGTAAATATAAAAACCATACTAAGTTTAAAAAAAAAGAAATATCTAACGTAAAAAAGGTGTGGCACTGGTCTGAAAGTAAGTCTTACAGTTCTTGCTCCCCCTGCATTTTTTCATTAAAAAGTTAGTTTTACTGTACGATGCGATAGAACTTAAGAAATTCTGAATAACTGAATCAAGTTAAGCATTGTTTTGTTATTTATATATGAAACTTAATTTTTTCATAAACTATATAACTGATATAGCGTCTTACGTAGACGTAGCTATCTAGGCAGTGGTGTTTTAAACCCTAAACACCGAGCTAAAATATGGCCCACAAATTTGTCACAAAATTTCTCAAATGTTTGGAATTGGACTAGTTGGGGAAAAGCTGCACAAAAGATCATATTTCATAAAAGGTCATATTTCAGTAAAATTAATATACCATAGATGATAAACATTGTACATAGATTGTACATAGTACATAGATTGTACATAGTACATAGATTGTACATAGTACATAGATTGTACATAGTACATAGATTGTACATAGTACATAGATTTCTACTGCTATATAATAGTAAATACAAGTTATTAAACATCTTTGTCCCTTTCCATTATATAATGAAATATATTTATTATATATTATTAAGCCTTGCTTGGCGTAACACGATTCCAAGCTGTCTCTATACTGGGCATAGGCTATCTACAAATTGCCTCTATCTTTGTCTTCTTACTGCCACTTCTTTGAGCTTAACAATATTGATGTATGATCTGCCAAGGTGTGTGGATTGGGTGTTAATTTTGTTTAGTGTTGATCTGCGCCATTTTATGTTGATCTTAGGCCTTCAAATATATACTGTCAAATATATAGTATCAAAGAAAAGCCTACTCCAGAAAAAACATGTAGTCGAAATAATTCCCTTGTATCTCAAAAAAAAGTTAATCGGTAAACAGTCGTATTTTCTTTTATTATTTATTATGTATACTTAATTGGTGATTGATTATATTTTAATGTATTCAAAAGTTATAATGATTCAAAACGAAATTTATTTGGAAAATATTTCATAAGTTTTGGTGAAATTTTTTTTATTCGTTTTTGTATAGAATACCTTATTAATATTTACTTCCAACGAATTTTCCTTCTTCATAAATTCACACAATTCCAAAGGTGCTCTATATATTTATAAAAATGACTTGCAGTTATATATCACTTTTTTTTCATTTGTTTTGTTTTTGCAAAAAAATATTTTATTAACAAATATTTGAAAATATTTAATATCTTACATATACTCTTTTTATTTGCAGCAAGTGGACGCATATAGAAAATCGGATAAGGCTAAAACCAGTCATTTGGTAGCGCGTCTTAAATAATTTCTTCAAAGGACATCAGTTTTAAAATCACAATTTTTTTTACATCAATTAATGAATTATTAATATTTTGATACTTTACGTTTTCATACGAACTAAAATTTGAAACAAAATTAAGAAAAATTTAGAAAATATGTAGCAATTTTCAAATAATTGAATTTTCTGAATTATATTCGTGCTAAAAATACAAAGTTGAAATGAAATGAATTTAAAAATAAATAAAATTAACTTAATTAGCATATTAGATATGTATATAACTCTTTTTACAAATACCAAAATCGCAAAATATAGCATTGAAACAGAAAATATTTTTATATTAAATAAAAATAATAGAAAATACGCCTTTTTAGATTAAAACATGATATGCTATATTTTATGCTATATATATATACATGAATATATATATATATTTATGTATTTAGATATATGTACTTTTTTAAGTATTTGTTTTTTTTTTTGTCTTTAAGCGTTGTTTTAAAAACGGAGTAATTAATCAAAAAATATGAATGAAAAATATTAACGCAAATAATGTGTATATTAGATATAAACAGTGGTTTTATTAGTCGAATTTTCTTTGGCTTTATATAAACTTTTGTATTTTTAAATATACTCAATGTATCTTATATGTACTTGTTTAGAATCAAACCTTATACATACCCAACTTGTGATAACATTTTGGAAGGACTATGACATTCGAATACAAATATTGTAATAATTTTATTATTTTAGTAATTTAAGTTATACGTAAAATTATGTTCTATTTTATTTATATATTTATAAAAGTATTTATTTATACAATTCTGCTGTTTGAACTGAGCATATGCATTTTTAGATGTCGAAATTTAAACATATTTAAACATATTGATATATTTTATATAACGACATAACTAATATAAATTATAAATTTCAATGAAATTAATAAAAAACTAACATTTTAATGATTTATGCTTTAAAGCAAATATTTATAATTTTTAGGTAAATATATATGTTAATATATATATTAATATTACAATATATTAATATTACTAATGTATTGAATTCTCTCTGAATTTTTTTTTATTTGTTTTCCTTAGAGTTTTTAAGATCCTTAATATTCTCATTACTTCGGAAAAATAAATGAAGAAAAAAAGTACTTGTGACTATGAATTTTTGAGAATTGATAAGATGTATTTATGTTACTTTTGGCATAGCTTTCAAAGTAAGCAATTAATAAGATATATTTTTTTAATGTTTCTAATAAAATATTATATGTATTAATAACACGAAAATGGAATGAAAACTATTTATTTATTTATTTATTTATTTTTGGAATGAACAATAGAGCGCAGCAAAGTTGAATAAAACTGCCTCTGATAAATAAAACACGTTTTTAATTTATTTTAGTAGCTAGAAATTGCACAAAGCCAGGCTTTGCGAAGACTTCAAGGTACCATGGTACATTAGGAGACCTCAAGATTGATCCAATCAAAAACTATATAAAGTATAGAGCTCTGAAATTATTTACGAAAATTGACAGGCTTACCAACACCGCGTTATCGAATCTTAGAATAGTTGCAGGCATTACAGGGGAGCCATCCAGATCTGAGGTCAATTATTTCTTAGTCTGATGAAGTAATAAACAATAATCCAGAGAGTAAAACTGCTTAAGTGCACTGACTTAACTAGCCACAACAGATTAATATATATATAACGGTGTAATATATAAAACGGAAGTTTGATAAGTTTGGATAAGAAACTTTAAATGCAGTAATATTCCTATCAACTACCATCTCTTGAAAGACTCCAGTCTATACTTTGAGCAATCTGTGTCACCTAATTTGTGTTTAGTAGTCATTGAAACAGACATCCTTACTATTTTGCTCTATTTTATAACAGTGGACGTTACATAAATTTATCACAAAACACCAGAGATTAAAAAACAGCAAAGCAGTTAACATCTTCATGTGAATGGGCCCTAAAGAAGGCCAAAGTGGATCTGTCGCTTAAACAAGACTATTAAGATAGTTTTTAGTGATGTAAACAATATCATTTACATTGATTACCTTGAGCAGGGTAGACTGGTCACTGACAATTATTACACAGAGCTATTTCAAAGATTCTACATCGATTTGGAGCAACAATGATTTGCTTAAGAAAAAAGTGCTCTTTCATCAACCTATTATTTTATTCGGAACCAATTTCAAGAAAAACCCGGAACATGGCTTCCAATACTCGGGCCGTATAATTTTTGATAGTTGACGTTGTATTTTTTGGTTTTCGATTGCGGCAATGACTGTGCCCAAAAAAAAAAACAAATTATTTTCGCGATTTCACTCAACTAAGCACTAAATTCTCTTATTATGGGAATTCCTTTAGAGTTACAGCATGACGCAACCCAGAGTAACTAGGTGGTAACTTATGTACCAGCTGTTCTAACAATGTTGAGTTATTCAAGTATTGCTCACACTTGGGTGATGACAAAAAGCCTACGACATTTCGCACAAGAAACGATAACGCAATTAAAGTATCAAATTATTGAATTTTGTCTAATTACGATCGTACTAGCAAATCTCGGCGGTCATATCGAAATTCAAAGTTCTTCCATAACTGCAGTCACATTAAATGGCTATATTAGCAGAGACTGAACGGCTTCCTTCATTAGGCATTTTTTTAGGTTCATTAATAATGGTGTCATTCATTAATGGTGTCCTCAAAACTAGCCTGTTATATTCCCGAAAGGATAATTGAAACTGTGAGTCACCAGATATCCGAAGCTCTTAGACACTTTCATGCAGTGCCATTCATTCTTCGGACAGTCACTTAACACATAGAATTATGAGTTTTTTAAAGTTTTCTTCTCTAGATCCTTCTTAATTTGACGATTCTGCACCACGTAAAATCGGTCATGATCAGTAAGAAACTCTGGTACCCCAGCCTAATGGACCTTTGCACCTTCACTCAATTAAAAACTACAGCCATTCCATCTCACTAATTTCATACTGTTTACAAAAAACCTATACATACACATACACATGGGTTCTATGCATAGAACCCGCCGGCAGCGGATTCCTTGTTCGTATGAACAGTGCACAGGAATCTTGTACTCTGCAAGTTTTTGCTTGTAGGTAAGCCACTAGGTTTGCTTCCGAATAATCTAATTACTTTGAGCAGGTCGAGCATTTCCAAATACTTGAAGGTGTCTATTCGAATATTTTCAAACTACATTGGCATCGTAGTGCTGTCAAAACACCAGTGTATAGAATAATGTATATATGGTATATTATTATATATAATAATATATAACATAATAATGAATTATAAATACAAAATAATACCAAAATGCCGAAACATCAAGATAGAAATCGGGAGTTCTTTATTTATTATAAAAATCTTTTGATATAAATAATTATTTGAAATAAAAATAATAATGAAGATTAAAAGTTAGAAAGAGGGCGTTAAAAGAAAAGAGTTGATGATATCCATGGATAAAGAAAAAAAGGTGTAAGATTACATTGAAAAAATGAAATACTGCAGTAAACACTGAAACCCAGTCATTAATTTATTTCCCAATTACTAGTAAATGCATTCTGTCAAACCCCAGTAAAATATAAATTAAACAAAACGATTATGAACATGAATGGTTGAAAATTCCAAATAAAGTGTAATGAGTGAAAAGTAAGGGAGTAAAAATACAATAAAAAACAATGACAAAAAAATTGACATAACAAAAAAGGCGCCGTTACTGTCATTACTCGCCCTGTTCAGTGAAGTCAATGAAAATTGAGAGTGACTTCATAAATGTCGTGCCTTGTAAAGCTCAAATTAATTTCTTGATTTTGTCCACATTGTGACTGTTCGACCATGTTCGGCACATTGCAATTACACTAAATGAAAAAAAGACTTTTTTATTTAAATTGCTCTCCTGTGGGAGTTCACAATACCTTCTGCAATACTTGGCACTACCTTTGTTCCAGCACACTTATTGTGTATGGAGGTACACATATACCATATATGTACATCTATCTGTTCCTATTCGCAACTGAAGTCAAAATATTGCCACAAGTAGACAAAATCATTTATCTGTAGAGAAATAATAGGCACTACTATGTTTTGAATTTTACTAAGCGGAAATGTAAGCGGAAATATGTGGGATAACAGTGTTTATGTCCAGAAAGAACACGGATTTGGGTTCTGTGGTTAAATATATTTGTGCGCAAATAGAATTAAAATAAGTTCTTCAAATATAGCTCAACATAAACAAAAAAAATGATATTGATGAAATTTAATCATATAAACATTTACTTTAATATATTTAATATTAATATATTTTATTTTAATTTATACTTGATCTTTAAAGTTATTTAGGACGTGTGCGAGTTAGGCTTAGTTGATGCTAAACCAAATGGGAGATTTTTTGGGATTTTTTGCACTGCACACATTTAGCCATTTATCAACACGTATCGACAGATCACTACATTATCGGCGCAACTAAGAATTTTCCTCATTTAGAACGCAACTTAGCCTAACTCGCACACGTCCTTAAAGCATTCACACTGTCTCATTTAGGCACTTGCTCATTTATATTAATGAGTGAGCGTTCATATTATAATGAGGTCGTTTATGCAGCTGTTAGAACTTTTATAAACTTTTATAAACTTCACTTAATAATATATCACACAAAAAAATTAAATATATAATTAATATATTAAATCATTTATATACATTTTGCAGAATAATTACATATTCAATTAATCAAAAGTAAGATTTTATTAAATATTTACTTCCACAGTACGCTTGTTTACAGATCAGCCGTTGTTTGTTCATATTTTATATAAAAAACATATAAAAAATATATCCAATTTTGGTAATTTCCCTTGTGGGAAATTTATTTTTAAGGGTTGCATTCAACATTTTTCCTTTTAAATGAGCTGATTTATTCATAATGAGCTCATTAATATGAAAGTTCTTTGTATATTAAATCATCCTCATTAGTGCTTATAATGAGCTAAGCCGTCTAAATGACACAATGTGAAAGCGCTATCTGTAAATTTTATTACTGTTGTTAAATTTGTAAATTAAAGCTA